ATCAATCCAGGTTCAGTTGCTTAAACGCAGTGTGAAACCAAGCAAGTAATAAGTTAATTTTCTGTTATGCATTAAAATAAAAGTGTACAAATATGTCAGGATGATATTTACGATGCTGACTGTTGACAAGTCACCTATGGCTATGGTCAGGCTATACGGCTATAGCGTATAATGTGAAATAAGGCTGCATGTAATAATACTCGAGCATGAGTTGTAAAACAAAACGTTCTTGATATCTTAGAGATCGAATAGCGTGAATAATATTCAGCCTAGATTTTGTTTACGTACAAAGTATGGCATGATAATTCCATATCGAAACGTCGAAACCTATTTGCCGTCTTTATAGATCTTGGCAGTATAAAAAGTGCGGCGGCTTCAATGGCTTATACACTTGTACAGCCTTTCCCAAGGCCCTATATTGCGCAAATGAATCTGGAACAAACCTTTTTACCGTTTTCACCAAGATATATCTACATATTATTCCAAAAACAACAGCTGCATTGACAACATTGACATTGTCTTAGCTATTTTACGGAATTTACGCCCGCGCCTGCGTTGTCGGGTAATAAATAATATAAGACCCCTTTTAAGCTTCCACTGGTTAAGAAAAGATGGGACATCTTCATAACCTGCCAGAAAAAGATGGGACATCTTTCTGACACAAAAGTTTTCACTAAAAGTATTCTAGATATTATTCCAAAAACTATAGCACTAGCTGCACCGCCTTATACCTTAACTTAGCGTGATGTAAAGAATAATATAAGACTCCTTTTAAGATTCCACTGGTTAAGAAAAGATGGGACATCTTCATAACCTGTCAGCAAAAGATGGGACATCTTTCTGACACAAAAGTTTTCACTAAAAGTATTCTAGAGATTATTCCAAAAACTATAGCACTAGCTGCATCGCCTTACTCTAACTTAGCTTATTGTAAAGAATAATACAAGACTGCCTTTAAGCTTCCACTGGTTAAGAAAAGATGGGACATCTTCATAACCTGTCAGCAAAAGATGAGACATCTTTCTGACACAAGAGTTTTCACTAAAAGTATTCTAGAGATTATTCCAAAACCTATAGCGCAAGCTGCACCCCCTTAATCTAACTTAGCGTGATGTAAAGAATAATATAAGACTCCTTTTAAGCTTCCACTAGTTAAGAAAAGATGGGACATCTTCATAACCTGTCAGCAAAAGATGGGACATCTTTCTGACACAAGAGTTTTCACTAAAAGTATTCTGGATATTATTCCAAAACCTATAGCGCAAGCTGCATCGCCTTACTCTAAATAGGTCTGATGTAAAAAATAATATAAGACTCCTTTTAAGCTTCCACTGGTTAAGAAAAGATGGGACATCTTCATAACCTGTCAGCAAAAGATGGGACATCTTTCTGACACAAGAGTTTTCACTAAAAGTATTCTGGATATTATTCCAAAACCTAGCGCTATCGCTGCATGCATGCGCCGCTTTACTCTAACTTAGCGTGGTGTAAAGAATAATATTATAGACTCCTTTTAAGCTTCCACTGGTTAAGGAAAGATGGGACATCTTCATAACCTGTCAGCAAAAGATGGGACATCTTTCTGACACAAGAGTTTTCACTAAAAGTATTCTGGATATTATTCCAAAACCTAGCGCTATCGCTGCATGCGCCGCTTTACTCTAACTTAGCGTGGTGTAAAGAATAATATTATAGACTCCTTTTAAGCTTCCGCTGGTTAAGAAAAGATGGGACATCTTGATAACCTGTCAGCAAAAGATGAGACATCTTTCTGACACAAGAGTTTTCATTAAAAGTATGTCTAGATATTATTCCAAACTGACCCAGCGCTGTCGATGTGGCATACTCCAAATTTGATATTTCAACTATACTCTATAGGTACTAGCCTGTCAAATCTGAAAGCCAGGGGTACGGCTCATCTCCGCGTTTACTCATCACTAGCTCGCCCGGGAAATAATCTGGCGATGCCCAGCGTAATGTCTAATCAGAATGATATCAAATTTAGTTAAATGGGCCATTTTAGACTAATTTTCGATTCTTTTGAAAATGCTCGCGCAAGTTTAATTTAAACGCTTGTATCTCAGTCAACATTTCGTGATATCTCATGTATAACCTATCAAAATTTAAGTTAGCCTTTTATGAATACAGCTACATTTATTTGAGCGACGTATAGCTCTTATAGTTTTTTCGCTATGATAGATCAAACGCTTGAACTTTTTTTGCGCCACCCGGGATATATAAGTAAATAAATGTTATTTGTCTTGTGCTTCCTTGTATCAAAATATAGAAATGAGTATATTAAAGTAACAAATATTGTACAATCAACTCGCGGTTGTGATAGCCCTGCTTGAAAGCCGTGGTATCTAGCATACTGTATACTAAAGAAATATAATAACTGATTGCGTGCTGCAATACCTATAAGCTATAGCCTTTTGACTATTACCTAACCTTACTGATTGAAAATACTTCGCATTAATCTTTAATCTTTATTCTTTAATAAGCAGCCATAAAAATATTGCCAGTTTGTTCGATCTTGATCTCCATTCTGAATCCATACACACGATTGTCAAGCAGAATGCACTCTTCTTCAGACTATTTTGGCGCAATTTGAACTTTGCGCGGCATTGTCTGCTAACATTATTATGAATTGGTGATGACAACCTGGTTTGTATGTTAGCTCAGTTAATTATTTGCTACATCATATCTATGGGGTTAAATTTCATGTACGCATAAATTATTTCACTATAAATTCATTATACATGTCACCACTCTTACCACCTCGACTAATAATGCTGTGGTAACTAACACCTTCAAGATAATTCAATTTATAGGCGTGTGGGTCGTCATGCATTGAGAGTTGAGTCTAAAACCATTGCAAATTGGAAACCCCTTTAGTACTTAATGACTCAGTTTACTTACTTGATGAATTTCACTTCAATAAACTACGCACAAATTCGAAGTAATTATTATCAAGTAGGAATAAATCGTAGCTAAGCTATGACAAGTTCGTGGTTAATTGCTTTTTCTTTTGTATATGCACTGCTTTTAATTAGGCACAGAGATGAAAATATGCGATTCTGACTAACATTTTGTATCGGGCTCGTACTTGTCTATTTTTTTCTCCACTTGGCATGAAAAACATGTCATTCAATAGCTAAAAGCCTAATCTTGAAAACAATATTTTCATACGCCGAGTACAGTCACGTACAATAGCGTGCTGAAGTTCGCCTGATTACCTTTTTTATTCAACCTTGTGCGAGTTTGGGATTAATTGTAGGTATTCAGGTTTTGCATCTTAATTGGTTATTATTGTGTTAAATATAACAAAAACTATTGTGTGCTATGTATATATAGTATATTTAAAATAACAGAAAGAATTCTTTTATGTATAACCATTGAAGCATAATTATATTTAAAAGTCATAACATGCATAAATGCAGAGAACTACTCATGACGCCAATTTAGTGTCGGAAATTCTACAGTACTCGAACTGAAAGGTTCCCGTTCGCAGTAATTATTGTCGGCTGTGTGTACTAAACTTAAGTCCTTTTCGTTTCGGAAATGAAGATGTTGCATACAATTGCTCGCATATCAGTCTTTTGCCTCAGTATGGTATTGTTTTATCCTGAAGCAAAATCCGAATCGTGCTTCAAATCAATTTGCGAATTCACGCTCGTGGTAACAAATTCTCGTTCTATGTCGTTCAAGCACGATGCTGGGCATGTCTACGATGTCGAGCTGCAGCAAAATGGTACATTGAGTTTGGCAACAAACCGCTTTCATCTCAAAGTCCCAAACACCCTTTCCCCAGATATGGTTCATACAGCAGACGGCACCAAAGCGAGAAATATTATTTTGGTCAACGATCGTTTTCCCGGCCCAACGCTGGAAATAATGGAAGGTTCCGAAATCGCAGTTAAAGTCATTAACCAACTACAGTTTGAGGGAATATCTATACACTGGCATGGTATTCATTTGCTTAATAATGTATGGATGGACGGCGTGCCTTACTTAACCCAATGCCCCATACTCCCTCGACAAAGTTTCATGTACAGATTCAGGGCAAATCCAGGCACACATTTTTACCACTCCCATAATGAACTTCAAAGACTTGACGGACTATTCGGCGGCCTGATCGTACACCGACAAGATGAACTTGGCTTAATGCCATATTTCACGGCAGTCTTAGGCGATTGGTTTCCAGTGCCGTCTACTGACCTTCAAATTCTAAACCCTTTTGCCTTCCAACCTGGATCGGCAACTGGATATTTTAATAGCGGAACACTAATGGGAGTTTCAGTCGATGGTGTACCGGTGACTGTTTTTGAGTTTTGGTCTGGTCTAATCAACGGAAGGGGACGAAAAGACAATAACACTGCTCCTTTGACAGTCTTTACTGCAGAACAAGGTAACACACATAGAATGCATATCGTTTCAGCCGCGGGGGATTTTGCCTATCGAGTATCAATTGATGAACATGCATTGACTGTTATTGAAACTGATGGGCATCGTGTGGAAGCGGTTAAAAATTTCGAGTCTGTTATCATATATCCCGGGGAAAGATATGTCGTAGAGTTTCAAGCCAATCGAGAACCAGGTACTAGATACTGGATTAGGGCAAGATCTCTTCGAAGAGGACAAGCTGGTCAGTATCCTATGCTAGATGGAATAATTTGGGAAATGAAGGCAATTCTACAGTACGGAAATAAATCAACAAACAATCAAGATCCAGTCAGTAAGAGGATGAATTGTACCGCTCAAACACCTTGTAATGTATTGAACTGCCCATGGCCAGAATATCGCAAGGATTACTTTCCTCATGAGAAATGCATGAACGTGGCAGCATTGAGAGCCAATGCATCACGAGTCACTCGACAACAGCATGTAAAACAGAATAATAATACAGAAGTTGACGAAGAAATATTCCTAAATATGGCATTCTCAGTTGGAGCTTCGATCAACCGTCGCCGTAATATCATGCCGAGTGCTCCACTGTATCAAGACCCCTCCTCTTGGGCGCTGAAACCTTGCGAAGGTAAATATGGCCTATCCTGTTCCCACATTATAAATCTTCAACCAAACAAAACAGTTCAGTTGGTGTTGACAGGAAATATATTCTCCGGATTTTTAGCTCACCATAATTTGCATATTCATGGCCATAGTTTTCATGTGCTTAAGATTGGTTATCCCATTGTTGACAATATGACCGGAAGCATTATTAAAGGAAACACGGACCTGGGTTGCCACAAAGAAAATGATACAGATTGTATTCACCCTTTCTGGATAAATCCACCTGATTTGAACTTTGATAACCCGCCTTTAAAAGACACGATCGCCATACCTGCGAGGGGTTATGTTGTACTTCGTTTTGTAACAAATAACCCTGGCTTTTGGTTATTTCATTGTCACACCGCGACCCATAATTTCGAAGGAATGTCGTTAATATTCAACATATCTTTCGACCACCACCCACCGCTTCCTTCTGGGTTTCCAACTTGTGGAAATTTTGCCTTCAGCCAGGACGATTTCAAAAAATCGGAAAAAAATGAAACCAAGGAAAATAAGTCGGGAAATTGCGATGGGAAAGATTCCAAGAAAGACGGAAGCGACGATGACGATGATGATCTCTCTTTAGTGGAAACGTTGTCTAAAGTCGCAGCCAGTTGTAGTGCAATTACCGTGTTTTTGCAACTGATATTTCTGGTGTTGTTGTTGAAGATTGTTTGTCGTGCTTTACCAAAAGTGGCCAACACAAACACAGAAAATAATAAACTGTAATAAAACAGTAAGTGTTAAAACATCACTCGCTATTCAAACAACTAGTGAAGTATCACTTGATGAAATTCTATTTAACACTGATTTAGAACTTTAATTATAGCAATTTTGAAGTAAGTGATTTTAGAAATTTAGAACTTAAATTTAGTAACTATATAGCATTTTATATTTTTTTGATAAACAATTACCAGTAAATCAATATAATCTTGGAATGGTTTCGTATAAAATAAACACATTTGGAAACCATCATATAATTTTCATGTATTAGCCTTTTATACGACTCTAATACAGTTAACGTTAGTTTAATAAAATTTGACACTTTTTAATGTTTTCACTTTCAGCTATTTCAGAGGCTGTTATTGTTTAATTTCTTTTTCTCTGGCATGTCATGCATACTACAGGTGTCCCAAAAAAACCAAAACTATTGTTAGAATTTGAATGCCTCAGCACTCTGCTGAACCCACAAGTGCGTAAAAGCTTGACTTAAGTAAATTGTATGCATAAATAAACTGTTTAAGAAGCAGTCTGCTGCTTTGAATTCCCATGTGCCGAAAATCGTGCGCTTTACAAAGATATTTTAATTAATTTTCTTATAATAAGTCAATATTTAATATATGCATCTTTGCATTCAGCTTAGTGCTAGGGCGTTCAAATTATAACAATATACGTTATTATTTCACTATAATTTTGGTCTTTTTGGGGACACCGTGTGGTACATAGACGGATTTTGTGGGGGGGTGCAGGGGGTGCTACCCCCCCCCCCAATATTAGCTATAACCCCCCTAACAAAATGTCCACCCCTCCAAAAAAATTTTCACCTCCCCCCCAATATTCGGCATAATAAAAAATAATTAAATAGTCCACTCCAACGTGCAGAGTGTTGATGATACAAAATAAACGTAGGAGTACACTCAAATAGAAAAAGACAGTGCAATACTCTGAAACTAATTGCTCCTCGCTTGCATTCTCTGGTTTATTGGAGCAATTGTAAAATTTTGAAACTCTATTATCTCCCCTGAATAGAGCTTGCAGTGCCTTGTCATGCAAATA